CGTGCGCCCGCCCGCGCCGCCGCACCCCGCCGCCGTGCGCGCGCTGCCCCCGCCCGGGGACATCCAGGGCTCCTTCTACAGGTACCTCATATTTACTACTTTGCAAGTTACTAAAGAATGGCTCATGTATGGGTAAAGCGCAGTAAGTTACTGTGGCCCGGCTCGGAGCAGGAGTTTAAACAGGGATATATGATGAAATTCCATCTCAAAAAAATTAGTAAACAAAAATTTTTTTCAATTTCATGTCTTACATGAACACTTCCCTACACGGTAACGAAAGACGTTCCATTGTTGTACCTATTTGAAATTAGATTAGATTCACTGCTAATGTTAATACTTTGTTGCAGGCAACTAACAGAGTTGGCGTTCCCGGGCGACTCCCGTGGCATTACAGTGAAGGAACTAATCTGCATCCACTTGGGCCTGTTACCGGCATCCACCGCGGTGCAGCAGGCACGACGCCTCGCACACTCCGTGCATGAATTGGCTGGAGAGATGGGTGCGGGAGCGGCCGATCTGCTATAAATATTTTAAAGATATTTACGTTCCCTATAACTTTCCTTGTATACCGACTATATCTTGCCATGATATTATAGAGTAAAATCATATATGCCAAATAATTTCTTAAGTTTATTAGAAAAATAAATACTGTACGAGTTCCACATACCTGTAATTTGCAACTATTGCTTCTTTAGTGTTATAATAGGAATTTATACTAATCTAAGGAATCAAAGTTGTCTGTCTTGTCGTATCAGTATGAAATTGTCATTTACTAAGTCGTTTGCAGTGTTATACTTAACATTTAAGTACAATTTGCTATTATTTGTGTAGATTATCGCTAGTTTGTTCACAGTGTGATGACAATATGATAAGGATTATCACAACATTTCCAGTTGTACTCATGCACAGACTGTATGCTCTGTATACTTACTTATTTACTAATGTCAGTACTATAATGTATTAGTATAATATTAAGCTTCTCTTCTTTTTCTATTTAAATGTTGAACCTTTTTTGACTATACACTCTACAGAAGTGGAATCATTCACTCTGTGAAATTAATAAAACATATTGAATATCTAGTTCGAACCTGGTTAACATCTAGTGCTGCTAAAAATGCACATCCAAGTTAGTTGATAAGTCATTTTAAAAGTGTACGAAATAACACTTGTAACATGACATTCCATAAAACATTCCCATTTTACATCATAGATGTATGTACTTTATTTATTTATATTATTTTAATGTTTTGTAATTTCTTGTGTGCAATTATAAAAGATGATATATGTGAGTGATAAGGAATTTATTGAGCATATAGTTCTTAAATTTAATATGAATGTAATACTCATATAAGAATTTTAGTAAACAAATGTAGAATTCCAACAAATCCTTTTCACTTTTTAAAGAATTTGTTTAATATTTACATAATTAAGTTTTAATTTTAATGTGCCATGTTTATATGATTGAAAATTAAAGTATTTATTACAAACTTGGGATAATAATTATTTTATCAGACAATTTTCTTTTTAGTATTGATGTAATATTAGCCCTACAAGAAGATTAATTGATTTACCAAAAGTCCTATTTTGCTTAGCTACATTATATGGATATTATATACACACATTTCATTCCTTAATAGTAATTGGGAATGTTCTTTATTAAGCAGACCGTCTAGGATTACATAAAAAAATAAAATTTGAATAAAACTAAATGGCTCAACTGCTTTATTTACATTTGTATTTATGAAATCCTAACATTAAGTTTAAAACAGAACAATAAAAATAGAAAATATTTAAGTCAATAACCCGATGCTAAGTATTTAACATTATTATCAGCCAGCATACTATAACTTAAGATAGAATTAAGTAAATGAGATAAAACAACAATAAGAAGTGAATACAGCAATAGATGCCTGTCTGCATTCAACATAAACAATGTGCATTGAAGAATCATAATGTATACAATAATCTTTACATAACATTCTGAGTATTATTAGTAACAAACAAGAGACGGAGGCCTGAGTATGATTTTATTTTACGTTTAAACTAATTTAGACGAGATTGCATTAGGTTGGTTTATTGGAGCCGACCAATCATAGCAGTGAACACATTCTCGTTTCGATTACTTTAAATATAAAACAAACTCGTACTAAGCCCTCAGAATAGTTACAAGATTCACTTATAAGGTAACTTATCCTACATTTATTTAAAAACTTAAGTTATAAAGGCACTTGTTAATATTCTGGTGAACTATCACCACAGTTTATTTCTTCATTCACTTTCACAGTCTTTTTCACATGGTTATCTTCAACATCAAAAATTATCAAATCGTCACTGTGGTTTTGTTCTTTCTGCAAAAAATAATTAAACTTTATTTATTTTGATATGTTAGGAGGAATGCTGTCTAACGTTGGGGTTAAATGCTTTCAAGTGTGAGAATTTTGATCCCTAGGTTTACACATTATTTCCAGACTTACTGTACAAACTATCAGTGCATAGTACACTTCAGTATGTTAGATTTTAAATAATGATGGTTTAAATACTTACACTTGTAGATGCTGTTTCACTTTTGCTTTTTAAAGCAGCAGCGTAATTAAGCCCTTGTTTAGATGAGCCGGCTTGTAGTAATGAGGGACTTAAACCACTAACATTCTCAATTAACTGCACTGAATCTTCAGAGTCCATATTATTAGAGTTTCTGGGAACATTTTTAGCATTTAATATGTCTACTTTTAAAGGAATCTTCAATGCTTCTAAACAAGCTTTAGCCATTTCAGCCTCTCTGTTCATAGCTTTTTCCTCCATGTACTTGTTGTATGTTGATTGTAATTCAAATGATTGTTTATCTGATAAAATAGTAGCCATTTGCTTAATTTCTGCTTCAAGTTCTCTGATAGTACATTCATTTTTAGCAGCAATTTTAGCTTCTTTTACCAGTTTCGCATCCACAGCTTCTTGAATAGTTAATATTGCATCATTTGTATTGTTGACCTGTACTTTACTGTCCTTTACAATCTTACTAAAAATACTGTGTGGAGGTGACTTATGTGCTTTCTTGTATCCTGTGTATTTTTCCCCTAAATTCGCTGTTACATCTTCAATGTATTCATACATATCAAAACAATTAATTTTCCCAAATCTGTACATGAAAGTGTGTGTAGATCCAGAAGATGATGCCTTGTTTGATATATTACATGAAACAAAATTCTTCTTTCCATGGTGTTTTTCAAAGTATTTTTGTAATCCTTTTGATATTAATTTATCTCTAAAAGTAGGCTTGATGTTTGCATTTTTCCTATATTTGTACCAACCCACAATTTCACTGGCAGTGCTAGCTAACATATCAGAAAGGATGTCTTCCTTTATTCTGCCTGTAGGAAAATAAAACAGGGATACAGAAGGTAGAGGGAGTACCGTTTTTATATTAATTTGAGTGTCTAGGCGGGTGTTATCACTCTGGGTGTCAGAAATGTGGTTGGTTATTTCTGAAGTCACATCGCCAATTAGGAAACCTTCCTGGAAGTAAACGCATAAGTTTAGATTACAGAAACATAAGATGATATTGTAAATTATCTTAAAATTTATTATGAGTAGGTACCTGACTATTGCCCGAGTTAACACACTCATAAAATAGAAATGACAGAGCGGTTCCACTCAATAACACCTTTTCGGTATACGCCATTTCTACATTTATAGTTAGGACAGAAACCAGACCTCAATATAAGGATGCACGCAAAGTTAAAGTTACATGGAAATATTAACTTTACTATTATTTACAAAAATCGTCACAAGTCCAAATTTTTACTTGATAAAATGTAAAATGTCAAATTATTTTATTAATTGTCAAATGTCAAATTCAACCAACTTTCGGTAATCTGTGCTACACAAATGCCACAGATTAAAGCAAATCTCTGTTTATTTATAAGGTCCCTAGAAATCGTAGAAATATGAACCCTTTTGCCTAGATTAAATAAACAATTCTGACTTGAGTCTCTGAGAATGAGATAGTCAATACCTTCATCATTATCATCGTATCAACTATAGGACGCCCACAGCTAATTATAGGCCTTTCAATGGCTTCCATATAGGCCAGTTAGAAGCAACCTGCATCCACCCATCAACACACTACTTACATTGAAACCAAAAGTGATACCCTAATGTATATACAATATCAGTTTGCTTCTGCTTAACATATTGATTGATAAGACATAGGAGCCCTTATCGTAGCCAGCTTAGCCCTGTGTAATATAGACAGCACTTTGAAAAAAGCTATTCTGATCTTTATTCTTAGCCTTTATTTTCATTAAAGTCATGGAGTATTAAATTATGTGAGTGTGAGTAGCTTTCGTGTCGAAGTCTGTGTTTCCTAAAAAATACAACTTGGGTGTCTTCAAGTCCTGCGTGAACAGTTGCTCATAACTACAGTTAGGATGTTAAAAAAAAGGCGGACGTAATGTCACTTAGAAATGATTGAAGCACCCAATTGTCAGTGTGTATTTATGTGTGCGTGTACTTGCAAGTGCAATACTGTTATATATGAAGTATAATGACGGGCCATATCACGCGACAGATGTCCTTCTTGTCAATGTGTGTGTTTTCTACGTGTAAGTCAATAGTAGCCAGGTGCCACAGTGCCCACAGTCATTATTACAATAGCCTATGTCTGCCTTTTTTTAACGTCCTTGCATAGGTAGTCGTGCTCCATCGTTGCTTACCACTTTAGCAGTCCACTAGGCGAGGTAGCCAAAAAACACCATTCTATTAAGAATAAAAAAAGAGCGTTTTATTTCAAGCAAAAATCCAAATTGTTTTGACATTTCACAATTTGGTGTTCCTATAGAGATGACACTATCTTGACACTCTTGACAGTTTGTCAAGATCGTTTTCGTTATATAAACTGTTTCGGGTACTACAGTACATAATTTATTTATTTATGTGAAGAGGCAGGTACTGAAACTGAAATGTAATGCACCAACCGATACGATTCAATTATAAGTTACAAAGCATCGGAATTGCACCATTTGATGAGCGATTTTCGTTATTATTAAATGAAGTCAATTTTTATTTTGTATGAAGAAAAAAGTGTACCTACTATGAAAATATTCTAATTGGATTGGATTTTATTGAATACCTAGTTTATAATTACTAAGTTTGGTGGCTTGTGAGTAGTTCAAAGAAGTTTATTTATATTTCCGTGCTATAATTAGTGTTTGGCACTATAGATTTATTTATTAGTTGTGAGAACTGATTCTGTGCCGTTTTTATGATTAGTGGCTAATGTTTCAGTTTCTATACTAAATTATTTTCGTGAGGTGGTTAGTGGTTATCTAATACATACTTTATTTTTTAATGGTTTATTAAAATTATGTCTTGGTTTACGTGCAAATTGATGGCGTGTAAGTACTTTTTTTAAATGCGGTAATTTATTGTTTGTAAGGTATTTTTGTCAATGGGCGATTAACTCTCACCAATAACAAGTTCTAATTGTGATCTACTGAAACAACGAAAACCAGGTGTGAGATAATGTGGGTATCAACTGCTAAATAACACATGTCAATATGTTTGTAAAGTTATTAAATATGACTATATATTTCATGTAATAAATTTATTGATTAACTCGTCGAGTACCGGTTTTGTAGACACAATTATAGAACAATAGGTTGCGGTCACCAGTGACCGCTTGGTGTTTGACAGTTTAAAAGATGAAATGATGAAAGTGGATAGTGAAAGGTGGCATAAAGACACTAATTAATTGAAAAAGTGCTATTTTAGACTTGCTAGTTAGTAGTTTACTAGAAATATGCAAACACAATTTATTTTTGCTACATACAGTGTTATTGCATGCATATACATAACTAGTTATAGTTTAATTTAGAGTGTGACAGTTTTTTCCTTTTTGATTCACAAACAACTAACTACCTCACAATAAAAATAAATTATTTTTTAATTTTACATTGAATATTGCATGTTAGCTTATTAAAAATTAATAGAATGTGTATTTTTAACCAAGTATTTGTTTTTTAGGATAGGATAGGTGGAAATCTAATCCTGCATGAACGGGCACAAGCTACTGGATATTACTTTAAGACATAAAACCCTAAGATACTTCTGTTTAAGTTTCAATTTATCAAATAACAACTTTAAACCCCACAATAAAAATATGGAGTGTATACAAGTATACAAGAAATGTGAAGTTATTCCTGAAAATCAGAAGCTCCCTAAGAAATACTATCGCCGTGCTGAACACAGGTAAGAATATTTTTCCATTACTTGTACAATAACACATTTAGGTATTACTGATCAATTAACCTATTGAAATATCATCCCCTAAATTTGTTACAAAAGTAGTCTCTAAACATCGGAAATAAGGTCTATAATGTAGTTAGTGGAGAGTGTTCACCGGTGATCACTTGGGGATAAATTGGTATTATTATAATTGCTTATCAAGCCTTTTAAACATGTTAGTTAACTGGCTCATTAACGTTGGTGGCTGTATTTATTGATTATTTCCAAGTTATCCTACCACAATAATTTTTAAATAAATATCTATTTCTACATTTTAATTACATAATGAAAAATATAATGTGCAGATGTGAAAATGAATGAATAACAGTAATACCTTCTTTATTATTAAATTAAATATTGATTTTCCATGAAGTAAATTATTTGACGACATTATTTACATTACATCCTTCAGTATCGGTAATTAATAATCATGAATTCAAGGCGTAATAATGACGACGAACTACCTAACAATTTGTTAGATTTGTTTCTATTGTTTCATTTTCCAACAGGTGTGATAAAGTCTCCTTATCTTTAGGTTGAACCAGAGATCACGTCTTTGTATCGTTCTATTTATATATATGCGATAGGTATACCTACATAATGATGTACATAGTATATAGGTACCTAGCAAAATTATTTTGTTTTGGATAGGCGTAGGTAGGTACGTACATACACAAAACGTAAGCTATATACGCGATTATAGTAAATACGAAGGAAGCATGTCGAAAATAATTGTTCTCAATATACGGTTATTTATTTCTTCTATAATTTAATTATTGCAAGGTTTTTAACAAACCCACAGTATTCTAACTTAATATTTACATCACTTGTTGGCCCGGTCAAGAGTTATCATCTCGCGAGGTTATCTTTATCGTCTACTTGTTTTCAGTGTTATTCTGGTGACGCCAGTTGTATTTTAGCGTCGGAACTAGATTGACTTATCTATCTTCGTATTACATTACAATAAAAAAGTAAAATGCCAGACGCGTTCGAAAGTGCGTATCCCCTCTCACCACCTCTGAACCCGCAAGAATTGCGCGCACGCGCCAATTCTTCCTCAAAGAAAAAAAAGCCAGTGGTTACTTTCCTTGGCGATGAGGCTGTTGAGATACCTGACAAATCAGAGGTCGGTGTAGACAAGCCCTTGGCACGAGGTGATGTTGAACTCGATAGTATCGCAGTATCATTTAACACAATGCATACAGCCTTACTCGATAAAAGAGTGCTTGAGCACAGGTATGTATCAATTATTTTACTAACACAACGTTAAAGGTTGTAACAAACGCATTTTACGGGCTTTCTATGCAGTGACCTATCGACTGCAGTTTTTGAACAATTTAGCAGTTTTAATAACTCCTTAGTGTTATTTTTGTTTGTCTTGAACCAATCAATTTAGTCGATCCAATGCTAATCCCTTATATATAAAGACATTTTACGAATAATTGTCTTTAACAGAGTAGAATATATTTTTTATTACTTATATTTCTCCTTCCTATGGCCTGTTTCTGTTTCACTATGTCTGAATAGCCGCTATGTACCAACAATAATTAAGAACGTAATTTGTATGACCTATCTGTCGCATAAGTTTATAGGATACGAAGGCGATGAAACAGCTTAGTAGTATTTGCTTCGGTTAAAACCCCGTTTAAAAATAGCATTTAGGTACTTCAATAAAAAATGGATGAACTAAGAATAAACAGTTCGAATCAGACTACCACCCACAACTCTACAATAAATTAAAGCTATAAACTACACTGTATATTTTTTGTGAGGAATAAAGTACATAATACCATAACTAAATGGTAATTGAAATATACTATGAGCGTGACCGCGGCAGCAAACATCCTCGGAACATAATTTTCAACTTCTCTGTTTTTAGAAAAAAAGCTATCAAGTTTATTATTTCGTTTTATTGAAGAGAATTTGTTTGTCAATATTTTGGTAGCTCAACAATATTTTCATTCTGTAGTTTTCTATCATATTCATATCTACATTACCAAAAATCTGTTTTTACCGCCTAAACTGAATCGACTTTGTCTAAAATTGTATGAAGATACGAAAGACACGAGTACCTTTTATTCGAACAACAAAATGCCTCAAAGGAATGAAAAACTCGGCTTACATTTTAGCACTGTTTATATGTGTGTTCCAATTGGAATCCTATGACTCTATTCTAATCTATTGGATTAAAATCATGGGTTATTAAATAATAAAGAACCCTAAACGAAACTAACAAGCCCAAACTGGACTATCTTATAATTTGCTATTTACGAGTTTCAATGGTACTCTTTCAACTTTCCGCGCGAGTCAACCGTGATTTCACTGAGAGAGCCAATTATGTATCAACTCGACCGGAGAGATACCACAGCATCATATAAAATTGGCGTGAAACTCCGCTAGAGTTTTGTTTCCCTGTGTAACGAACGTCTCAGGGTAACACATATGTCACTCTTCTGATGTAAACGGTTGTCCACGAGCGGCATTGATCTCACATCAGGTGATCCATCTGCTCGTTTACTCGGTGTAAGAGTCAATCCTCACTAAGCTCCATCATCAGAATATCAGAATACTTCAACAGCTCCCAGGTTATTTTCAAGACCAGATTACAAACACGTATCCATCGTGACTTAAACGAAAGTTGGAAAAAATACCCAAACCACTGCAAATTACTTATCATGTCATCAGATTTTTAACTGAACTTTACGAGAGAGACTATATTTTATGAAATAGCTATCCATTCAAAATTCAAGATATAAAAATTCTTCTTTAAGCTGACCACGTATTCCGTCCCAATGACGTAGTTTATATTTAAGTATATTTTTGAGTAGCAGTTAGGTATAATATGTAGTTAATTCACGATAAACTGTTAGATCGTATGGTTCGTATGTTGTGCTTACTGACTACTGAAGTTGGCGAATCAGCTGTTAGCAGTGGCCGCGGGGGAAGTGATTGTACTGTGGGGCCTTAAATGTATAGCCGACCGTCGACTCCGATAGAGCGTCAGTGTACGCGACGCCCTCGCCGATCCATATCGCACGCATATAAACTCTAATTAATTGATACTATTCGGTTATCGCCGCGATTTTTAATACGTGACGTTTACCTGCTGTGTATGGTGTGTTGTCAAGATTCAATGTCATACTGCTTTCAGTGCTCTTTTACATCTGTTATAGACTGTAGGCAGTGTTTTCCGTTCTATTTATGATATAATAAAATACCATCCACATGAAACATTTATTCTGACAGTAACAAGGTTGTTATTTTATCGCGTAGGTGGCTAGTCACTCTTAATGCGGTGCGTTTAACACTAATTCGGAATTTCTATTTGTTGTGTAAACTACTTTATCCAGTTTGACTTGTTTGTTGACCGTCCCAGATCGCTTGTGTTAGTAAAATGGAAAGTGTACTAGCAACATGTTTTGGAATAACTAACATCGATGATATAATTTTCGGGTTAGTGCCATAGAATTATGACATGGCACTAACGCGCAATTTATACGATTACATTGTCAATATGTTATTGTTTAATATTTGTATATATTTTCCTCGTGTTTCCCAAAACGAGGAAATGCTGTCTACGCAGATACCTAAGTACATACTGGTTCCTGGAATCATATTGATTCGTTTCCTGGCAGCCTCTCTCCCATGCGCCCTGAGCTGCTCTGAACCCCATCTCCGACACTTAACAAACTTCTAAAGAGGAAGCATAGTAATAATTTACTTATCGCATATAGAAACATGATTAAAGTTAAATAAGTATCGAATGGTGACGATTTACCCAAATGCGATAATATTGTTGTTTCCCAAAAGAAATTGTGTGACCAGTAAATGTTTATTATACATTTACATTACTCATACATATTTAACATTTACTCATATATTGATAGGAAGTGAGTTTACTTTCTTATCGTTTAAACTGTCAAATACCAAGCGGTCACCGGTGACCGCAACCTATTGTTCTATAATTGTGTCTGCAAAACCGGTACTCGACGAGTTAAGTACTTAAAATTTACTTAGAATGTAAACATAATAAATTTACATTGCTAGTTAGTACAGTACCTACATTTATTTAAAACTATTACATGCATGTTGGAGAAAAATCTAAAACGCATGTTGTATATTTCGTTTCTGTTGTTGAACTACAAATTTAATTTGAAGTTCCAAGTTCCTACTTTGAATTTAAACGTTTAGTTTAGTATACTACTTACACAATTTCATCGAATGTCTGTTTATTGTGCAGATTCACTTATCGTGTATATCCATCGAATCCACATGAGAAACTTCTAAACCGTCTATGTTTTCGTACTTGCTGACTGAAATATGTCAAGATTCGTCGTCATTCTGTATTAGCTCTGTCTAAAAGCATATGTTGTTTATATTTGCTATGTTATTGAACTTCGCAACGTCAACATTTTTTTCATATTGAGAACATATTACTGGTTGTCCATAAAATAGACAGCCTTTTGTGTACTAGATCTGTCGGCGGCTTCACCCACGTTACCCGGATGAGTCTGTGTCTATATCTATATCAAGTTTTATCAAAATTCATTCAGTAGTTTTTGCGTGGAAGAGTAACATGTGACATATCCATGCAAACTCAGAGAAACTTTCGCATTCATAGGAAAAACATATTAGTAGAATAATATTATATTCATAGAATATGGCAACAGATAAGATATTTTAATCATTACTAAAGTTCTGAAACAAGGAATTTAAAAATTATTATTCAAATATTCTGACAAGATTTGTTTCTGCGAGTCATGTTTGCTGTAGATACAATGTTCTGTTTGGCAATGCTAACATTGTTTAGTATGTGTATGTATATATGGTCAGAAATAGACATGTGAAAACGTTTTAATTTGAATTGAGAGTTTCCTGAGTAGACTCTACGCAGTATCAAGCGAAAAACTGTTTACGTTAGAATTAAATAATTTGATATTGTCTTTATAAAGTAGGGCACAAAGGACCGTATAGCACTTTCTTTCACAGTCGTGCTATGAATGAATCATTAGACATATGTATAGTTAATGATACGATAATGATGCACACAACGTAACTATTGTTTACGAACTCACAAATGTCTCATAAACAATAGATGCGCCGTTGCAGTGAGTGAGCTACTTAAGTCATATAAAATCTAGCACTAGCTCATGTTGTTGTGAGGACCGGTCTTTTTAACCTTGTTACTGTCAAGGATATCCACTCAAATGCTTCCTGCGTTTCACTAAAACGATTGCAGTGAATCATGAGAGACGTGTGAACGCAATTATTGTGTAGTCACTGCTGACTGAATATAAACATTTCGCTGGAATTAAAATACTTTGTAAACGTTTATGTGTATAGTGTACAATTATATAGACGAAGTGTTGTTTATATTTTATGTGAATAGTGTTATAAATAAAAATTGGAGTGTTTTACAATGAACAAACAGCGAACCATGGCTAATGGATCGAAGGCTCGATCCAAGGCCCAGCCTATATCCAATGGTTCCTCTTATGGTACAGGGGACAGATATACGGCAGCACCAAATGAGTGAGTTAATACATACTAATATTAAAGTTATATTTACTTGCAAAATAACGGATAAAGCGTATTGTTCTGATTAACGGAAAAAAATTCGCGGACAATGTGAGACACCAAGATTAGTATAATATATTTATTCAGTATAGGTATCATTTTTTAAAAGTATATACAATACATAGTATTCCTTTGTGTTTAAACACGTAAGCTTGTGACGTAGTGTAGCGTCACCGTTGACTTCATTGTTTGTACACTTTGGAATGTGTTATTGTTTTAAACAAATCAATAAATTCCTTGTTGCTTTTCGACAACTCTGTGCTAAATTTACACATTGAATAATATACATTTAAATATAATTTAATAAAAAGCTGGTACCAAAGCTGGTACTTAGTTAACACACGGATTTTCTGGATAACACATCGTAAAGTAGGTAACAGCGCCTTCTTTTATATGCCGGATATACGCGCCAATTACACAACAGAACAGACCTATCGCTTGTGTAGACATTGGCTGAGACTTAATTTCTCATTCACAGAGACATTTAAATGAGTAAATCAAATAGACAAAATCTTGACAAGTCTGCAATCATAGAAACGAGCCTGCTTGTCAACAGTCTTGATTTAATCTTTAAACTTGCCTGATAGTGTCCACCATAAGATAAATTGTCCAGTATTAATAATCTAATCCATTATTCACAAGTGTTCAAATACCTTGTATATTCAATGAGAGAAAGGGCGCTTTAGCAATAGAAAAGTCAAGGCGAACTATCTGTTTAAAACAAGAATGTTGTGTCGTGGGTTGATCATTAATGATGGATTATATAGACACTGAAATGAATAACTAATATCGACTTAGTATTTGTGACTATACTTTACTGATTTCCATCGATTTTCAAAATTATAGAGTATAGTATATTGTCAATGTTAAAAAATCGCAATAGGTTTAGTGACCGTCTTACTGTTATTTATGTGCTTGCAAAGCTAAATCAACACATTCTTGTATTTTTTACAGTACAAACAAAAAATAGTAAAACTACTGAATGTGTGAATTTTTCATGATTTCCTTTAAACATGACTGGATTAAAATTCGTAATGTAACCAAAACAAGCGATAAAATATTGTACGTACCTACGTAGCGTAGATGCCAACCCACATCTAAGAATAACATTTAACTGCGAACTTTGTTTTGCTCTAATTATGGACTTAGCAACGATTTACCGGAATTTATTTTTCTTTTACTTTGAGGAAAATGATACGATCAACATACAAGTTCCACGGTTAGCTACCATATGTCTGTCATATAGTTTATGTACATAGATATCCATATACCTAGGTATAGGAATATGTCTGGACTCTGGAATTATCAAACGTATTAGTGTCGATGTTGGCATGTCGCTGAAATTCCAGTCTGTGAGTGCGTGCTTCGTGTAGGCGTGCAAGTCGCAAATTTAAAACACGTTGCATTATGATAATGATTAAAATGGACATCGGAGCCAACAGTGTTCGTTCTGGATTATCGCCTGACTTGCATTAAGATCTTCACCTTGTACGACATGTTCCAAAATTAGCTAAATACTGTTCTGAATTTTGTATTAATGTTGGTATCAGTACATTAATTTGTCAATTTCATTTATAACAATCAACAAAAATAAAATCTGTATTAACTCAAATAAGACAAAATTGGATAGTTTGATCGCCTTTGTCTCTCATACAATATTCAGTTTTGAAATATTTCGTTGCATTTGAGTGTACAGTTATAGTCATAGAGAAAGGACTATCTATCAGCTGACACCCTTAAAAGCGGAACATGTGGGTGGGACTGCGACTCTGAGGCAGTAAATAGCAATTATTATGTACTAACATTATTATCAGCTTTTTCTCATGAATGAAATACTGAAGTAGTTACCTAATGAAATATACACAGTTTACCCAACAACAACGAAGGACTTAAATACACATAAAATGCCATGGTATATGACAAATAGTAATATTGCTTTATTTCTCTGCACTTCCCTATGGTTGACTGTCAGAAAGGAAGCCGTTAAGTCCGGCATTGTAATTAGAAATGAATAAATAAATAAAATAGTTGGTGATTATATTCATTTTGAGTGAATGTTAAAGCTTCTATGTACTCAAACACAAAGTATAATTATTGTTCATTTTAACACCGATTATTACCGACGCCCTTGTATTTCAGTTAACAGCCACGTCTGTTTTATTCTCAAGTTGAGCATTCTTTGTGTAAGAGTTTTACTTGACACGTTACTTTCATCTTAATCCGGAGTGATAGAAGTAATCTCTTTGATGAGATCTCAATGTTCTATTGATAATGGCTTAAGTTTTAGGCTTCAAGTCATTCAATGGAAATATGGCTGTCACGCATAGGCATATTTCGTTTCTTATCTTGTAGCACGTCTTAGGACTGACGTAATTCTTATCTACGCGAGTACTTGAGAAACAATGGAACGGATGTGCGGGTGGCGTGTTAGCATTAGTTAGCCGACTCTTCATAATTACAAAAAAAATCTTCTGAATTTCATAGAAATTATTTTTCCAGCTTTTAGTTTTAAAACTTTCCAATATAGTATAGTCAAGCACGGGTGAGCTGTCTACTTCCTATATGGAAAATGACATGTTTTATTACCGACTTCAAAAAAGCTCATATCATAATGATATAACTTAATGACCACAAAATTGTTGATTAGTATATCTAGGTTTTAACGAATAATTTAGCATAGAAGTTATTGCTCCGACTTCTAACCTATCAGTACTAATAATAGTTATTTTTTGCTTTTTAGTTTTTTTTTGAGTAAATACGTAGGTGTTCGTTGAATATGAATAACTATTGTGATTAAGTCTTGTAGGAATCCTATCTCGGAAAATCAGTTCTGAAACAATATAATTTCGTAACTTTTTTTATTATAGATACTTTATTCGTTTTTTGTTTAGTGAAAATGAAGTAACTCGTGCAATCGCGTGTCTAGATTAACAGATTAGTTTTATGCGGCTATTGTCTAACTCAAACAAATTAACTTTCGAGGTAACGAAACCTGTTTTAAACGAGATTCTCAGATTATCCTTGGAATGATTTTCTTGTTTGGAAAACGTGATAAGTTTTCTATTGGTGACCATATTGACCATCGATGACCGATCTTCGCAGTATTTCAATATTTCAATAGATGAGAAATATTCTAAGATTTCTTTCGAAATAGTTCTTGTATATTTTGTATTCGGTTCAGCTAAGCCTAGACCTGTGGGTGTTGTTGCTACCTAAAAAGAACAATCAAGAAAATGTCAAAATGACAAAATGTTTTGACATAATGGACATATAATGAGCACCGTATACATTTTCTTATAATTTATTTATATGTATTTTACATAAAATTTATATTTCAATGGATATTCTTACTCCTAACTATTGGGATAGGTTGGTAGAGCGCAATGATTATAGTTTTCATTAATTACTTAGGATTATCGAAAACACTCTTTTCTTGAAATCTAAAAGGGTATGAAAACAGCATGTTTGTCGCTAAAAATAAGGAATAAATTTATCAGTAGACCAGAATATACGTAAACGATAACCTTGGAAATGACTTTATTATTTGAATGTGTTATAAACACAGGGGTTAATCACCGATGAAAATGCCCACCTCATGTTTACTTTTTTTTTTGTTTCAGAATCTTTGTCAACAGATCACTGCATCTAGAAAATGTTAAATTTTATGGCTTTGATATGGATTACACCTTAGCTGGTATGTTTAAACTATGCTCCTATAATTTCGTGTATACATGCGTGAATTTATTCTTAAGTACCTAACACTAGTTTAAAAAAACGTGCATTTGCACAATACTCTTATAAGATTGCTACATACATATTTGTTCTAGTTCCTATTTCAGATACCCATGCCCATTTTATAAGATTTGAACCAAGTCTAATACAGAGAACGTAAATAAATATGTACACTGACTACCCATAACTTAACCGAATGGTCTTTTCCAGAATATAAATCACCAGCGTATGAAACATTAGGTTTTAATTTGACCAAAGAAAGATTAGTGCACAAAGGTTACCCTGAAGAAATATTAGAGTTTGAATATGATCCTTCTTTTCCAGTTAGGTAAGCTATTTTTAAGTAAAATAAATGTTGAGGCATTAATTAATCTTTAACGATTTTTTTAAATCTAAATTTGTTTTCAGAGGTCTATGGTTCGATACGTTATATGGAAACCTACTAAAGGTAGACGCCTATGGTAATATTTTAGTGTGTGTACATGGATTTGAATTCCTAAAGCAGTGAGTATATTTATGATAATAATTTGTAACTAGTTTTTGTCCCATACACAATTGTATAGATTTTAGCACAGCGTTAATTCAATGTAAACATTGCCATGTATATTGTAATTGTATACGGGCTCCTGTGGTATTTAGCGTTCGAAACATTGTTGCTATCTGTACGTGACGTCAGTCGACCTTTCTGCATTATCAATTAATTGTACCCGTATAGCTCTTTATTTGCACCAATACTATAGTAAGTACATAGTAAATTTAGGACCCAGTATTACCTAATATTCATATTGAACTTAAATATGTAGTTTCTGAGATCACATCTTTTGAGAAAATGTGGTTGTAATAATTACGTTGTTTCGTTTCAGCTCACAAGTATACGAATTGTATCCGAATAAATTCTTAACATTAGATGAATCCAGAGTGTATGTCCTAAACACGTTGTTCAACTTGCCAGAAACTTATTTAATAGCCTGCTTGATAGACTACTTCACTAATTCACCACAATACACAAGGTAAGCAGTGATTTTACATTTTGTAGTCTACCAAACTCAAATCAATACCTGAAATGTTTTCATTAGTATAATGTCTCCATAAATTACACTAAGTTTCTATTAACAGGTGCAAAGAATAAAAATAAAGGCAATTTATTTGCTCGCTTTGTGACGAGTCTTCTAAACGAAATTCCGTTAATTTGACTGTGTAATAATTCAACTAATGTGGCAATAACTCTGTAATAGCTCTCAGACTAAAAGTGAATGGTCAATAACGTTCACACATAGTTGTGCGTTGCGTAGTTCGCATATCAATCTTCGTTCTGCAGATGCATTACTCTCCGAATAGCTGACCGTCCGTCCATCCCACGTTATTTTAGATGAAGACCAATTTGTACCTATTTATTTTGCACATATCTTAACCCTTTGATTACCGTCATTATAGACAGAATTAAAGAATAATAGGTTGCGGTCATCGGTGTCCTCGCGGTGTTTGATAATTTAAAGCATTTTCCCTCAAGAATGTTCTTACTGCCATGCGACATGGAAATTTTCTTTAGGAATACAAATGCAAACATCGCGCTACTAATGCTATTATCGAAATCGATTTTATTCGTATTACACCTACCTGTTGAAATCGACGACTCGTGTTCAATCTCGGTTACAAGTGTGACCTCTAGACGTCGACTCAGAGTTCGCATTTTAGTTTTACCATTATTTACAATAGGTTTATTTATATTTTCGTCCACAGAACAAATTACGGAGTACGATGTGGGGATCTAGCTATGTCGTTTAAGTCAATCTTCCAAGATGTAAGAAATGCTGTGGATTACGTTCACATTCACGGAGATCTCAAGAGCAAGACCATAGAGAATTTGGACCTATACTTGAAGAAAGACGACAGACTGCCAATGTTCTTGTCGAGGATAAAGGAAAGCGGAGCCAAAATCTTCATACTAACTAACAGCGAGTACAACTTCACCGACAGGATTATGACTTATCTATTCGACTTCCCATACGGTGCTAGGGTAAATAAAACCACATACCTACAGTCAAACACTATATTTGCATACCGACACTCTATTACATCACGTTCGAACAAAGAAAAAACGAAATCATGGTCATGCATTGAGTGGCGAACAGCTGACATTTATACGCTTATCATTACTACCTACTGCTATTCAGATAATTTACAGTTACCTACGGTGATAAAAGATTCTCTTTATCACTTTGGGTCAATCAATATGAACGATTTCGAAAGTATGCTTGTCCTTGTTTATAGCCTGGCGAACCTCACAGGAACTGGAAGACTTACTTCGACTGGATCGTAGTGGACGCTAAGAAGCCGTTGTTTTTCGGTGAAGGTACAACCCTACGGCAAGTGGACACAAAGACTGGGGCCCTGAAAATGGGTCACCACGTCGGACCCCTGCACGAGGAGCTCGTTTACTCAGGAGGTACTTACATCACTTCCTTTATTATTGACCTCTAGAATACGCTTGGTATCTATACTTACTGTATGTAAGTTTGAAAGTGATTACCTTGTCTCGTCTCCACATCACCTAAAGGTCGACTAGCAAGAATGCGTAATACTATTTTCTAGTTGACCTTTGTGTATTTATGCACGTTTCTGTACACTTTTTCTCGAATTACCAATCTGTCCATTGTTTCGGGATTGCTATTCTTATGTTACATTAGATTTATTTGATATTATTATTATTACATATTACTATTTTGAATTAGTCAAGTTTAGTAAGAGCTTTTTCTGTGTGATTTCTCTATCCTGTAACGTATACAGGATGTATAGGTACATAGTTTACATATTATGTATATCTTGATACATGTCCAAACTTGACAAGTAGATAACGCTAAAAGCCCATGTCGGTTAACATTAGAATTCTCATAAATTGATATGATAACCATCAGATAATATGTATGATTAGATACGTGTATTATAACCATGCAAAGATTTTTATATTTTTTAAAATACGAGTACGTACATTATCCATACATTATTCAATTACTATAGATAGGATTAAATTGTATCAAGTAGTATAATCAATATTACAGATAATTCGGATTTAATATGGCAATAATAAAGCGAGTTAAGATATCGCTGATTGTAAAAGATAACAGGAAAATCGATTTAATAAAACTGATGTTTCATGTAGACTAAGTTATAGAGTGACTGACAGACAACGCACAATGGAAAACTCTATGGAGAGTGTTGAGAACACTAAGAGAGGATTTATTTAAAATTTCTGATCGAAAAAAAAAACTTTTAAAAAGGTTTTCGAAGAATCTAGTTCAATCATATATTATCTAATTAATTATAATTATTGTAAATAAAATATAGATAAATCTAATATGATTGTGAGCGTGTGAGTTAGTAACCTCTTTTTTGTTGACACTACTGTGGGACATGAATGCTGCACAATTAGATAAAACATTATCTTATTCCGAACGCTATATTAAGCACAAATAATATTACTATTAGCGCTTAACGATAGCCGTCACGAGATTATTTACTATTGTACATATTGTCGTAAATAGTGGAAGATTTTGGCCGAACCTTACTTGATAGATTTGTGGAAGTTTTTAATGGGTCGGAATTTTTTTCCGCCGATATCAAATACAAAGATGTACCTAGATGTTAACCGAAATTTAAAAAAAATGAATTAATGGATTTTTGTATGATTTGTTTGTATATTGCTAACAAGCAAAATCAAAATGTCAATGGTTTTATTATGTGTGCGTGTGTAATGGGTTACCACGTTACCAGACTTAAGAAAATGACAAATGTCGTTCGTGTCAATGTGTATGTTCTGCGTGTAAGTCTATCTATAGTAACCAGGTGCAACAGTCGTTGTTCCAAGACACTGTGTCTGCCTTTTTTTCAACGTCCATAATGCTATTGCTAATGTAATGATCGTCAAAAGAGTTTTTATGTGTCATCATTTCATCGAAATTTCAATATAAATTAAAAACGAATTTACTCTTTTGGCACTTAACTTCTTACATAACAAGATCTTAACTTAATATTTGTATTTAACTTTATCTAAATATTATTGTATAGGACCTAAATGAGTAACCACTCACTAGGTACTTGTATTATTTTACATCATTATTATATCTTCGCTACGTCAATATTCGCAACAAGATAATGATGAAAGACAATGAAGCTATGAAGCGGATAGTAACCTCATGCGTTTATCAGTATTTTCGGAGCATAATGATGAATAGGTAAAGATTTCAATGGAATATACATATTTGGGCTAATTTCTTGGTATCACTTTTGAGAACTTATTCTTGTTTTTGTCTACAGGTTTATTTAAACATACGTAGGAGTTATGATAAGAACAAAGTCAGTCACTTAGCTTTATCTTGGTAATTTCTTGGATGTGTGCTCGAGTTGACCCACGCTAGCCATTATTCTCTTTCGTCTAAATCCGTTTGGATAAGCGTATTAGGAATTAGGATTAGGTTCATGTTATCATTAAATTCTGTAGAATCATACCCAAAGCAGGTACTTAGGGATAATGATCTAATCCAGTACGGTTCAAGATAAAAAGTATCTTGGTTGTTATATTTTATCAAGACGATGTAACATTTTATTCAAATGCGATAAGAATTGCTCATATCCTTATTTTCCAGAAATCTAATGTGACATTTAGTAAATGTGCTTAGGTATCGCTATTCTAAGAATAATTTCTATGATAACTCAAAGTTTCCTAGTTGATTGTAAAGGAAACTAGACGAATAACTGGCGAAAACTGGATATTTGCACCTGCTAAATGTACTTCTGATTTTTCCTTCGAGAAATTTATTTTTCTTAAAATTTTCTTTAAAAAAAACGTTGCCCCACACTAGAATTTTCTCCTGTGTCGTGCATGTGTTTACAAACAGAATTTTACATGCACATGACACCCAGATCCGAAGTAAAGATTTGTGGATCACACAAAGAGTTGCTCCGTGCAGGAATCGAACCCGGCACACGTTACATGGCAGCCAGCTGCCCAGCCACCGCTCCAACCGTGCAGTCAATATCAAAAGGATACGAAATATAAATAAAATACATAACGTTTTAATAAATAATGTCATATCAATTTTTAATTAATCTTTATTTTGTAATATCCCCAGGTTCCTGCGATGTGTTCACCGATATGATCGGTGCCAAGGGTAAAGACGTGTTATATGTTGGCGACCACATATTCGGTGACATTCTAAAGTCCAAGAAGATTGGTGGATGGCGCACCTTCCTCATAGTCCCCGAGCTGGTTCAGGAGCTGCATGTGTGGACGGACAAGTGCCAGCTGTTTGAACAGCTGCAGGACCTTGACGTCAAACTAGGACATATGTACAAGTATGTATTGCTTTAATTTTTTTTCCGTCAGTTTCTTTTGGACGGGGTTTTTATCCTAACTATAAGACATGACAACGCCATTGTGTCCATCATTAGCATAACTAGCTTTAATTTATATCTTACTAGCGATCCGCCTCGGTTAGCACGGGTGTTATATGCATGTATTATACGTATAAACCTTCCTTAATATTTACTCTATCTGTTAAAAAAAACCGCATCAATATCCGTTGCGTAGTTTTAGAGATCTAAGCATACATAGGGACAGACAGTTTGTTTGTTTATTTGACCGCTCTAATTTTAGGAAATACTGGTCCGATTTAGATAATTTTTTTTTGTGCTGGATAGTGCAGTACAGGAGTCGAGCAGAGCGGGTGAATCCGCGCGGGAGTAGTTGCTTACAGTTAAATTGTTTTACAAAAAACTTAAAAAATAACACATTCTTTGGCATTATTGTTGCTAGTCCTTTTTTGACTCCTGTTTACAAGGCGAGTCTGTTCTCACAACACTAAACGAATCTCCTTATTCATGTTATACAGAGGAGCTAAATAAAAATGAGTTAAATTCTTCATAATCTATTCATATTATATCATCCCGAATCATCCCGCCTATTTATACTAGTTTATTACTAAACTCAGTCTATCTGGCTCCTATATAATTCTTAATCACGTTTTAATGGAGGTAATTAATGAAGTTGTTCATAAAATGTTATATATACCTACATAATTAACTTTGTAATGATGCATTGTTTTGCAGAGATTTAGATTCTGGTACGAAGGTTAAGCCGGATATATCGAAGTTGCGAATTTCTATCCGTGACGTCACACATAAGATGGACTTGGCGTACGGTATGCTGGGATCACTGTTTCGCTCCGGATCCAGACAGACTTTCTTCTCGTCACAGGTACCTACAGCCTAATAATATTTTTGTATACCTGCGGATATTCAAATAATGGATAGTAGGAGTGACGAAATATTGAAGCATTAGTCACGGGGAGGTCGAGTAGATCGGACCCTAGATGAATTTACGTCGCAAAACACGTCGATCAAGTATATAACTCCTTGTGAAACTACTCCTCGGGCGAAACGATCCCTATTGTAGACCGTTGTTTAAGTACACTGTAGTTTGTACTCATAGAAGTTTGGTTTCCTTTTTCTATTGTGTCGTAACTTGATTAACTTTAATATAAACTTGCGAAGACGAATATAGATAGTAAACAAAATTCTTCGTAACGGTTATGAAAATTATGAGGTCGTTGTCCTTAGATACGGGCCTAAATAACAACATTAACATAATAAACACATTATATCTATTATCTACATAGTAAAAATTATGCATACATAATTGTGTAGGTATTTCACATGGCAGGATGACTGTAACAATAATACTTATTATGGTTTTGTTTGAAATATCTCTGCATAATATTCGTAATTCGTAGTCAGTTAGAGATCTTTGCTGAAGTGTGTGCGTGTTGTTCATTATAAGATCATCTAAGAATTGAAATATAACTGCATTTTACTGACCATTAACAAATAAGCGTACTACAGGGTGATTGATTATCTTGAGGATA